CAGGCCATTTACCATATATGGTCTGTTCTGCATAAAGGCCTTTTTTCAGTAATTTAATCTCATTTTAAACATAGTTTTGCGATATTACTTACAAAAATAAATCAAATGCAGACCTTTATTTCTAATGTGCTGATGCTTTACTTCTCACCTGCTTTTGTTCCTTTTCACCAGTTTCTGACATTTTTCTCATTGCTGAAGACCATAGAACAGCTTATGAACACCCAAAACACTACAAATAATCAGAAAAAACTGCAACTCACCGAAAACTTTTATTTTTGCGTGTGAAAATGAATTTTTGGTGGATCACCAAAGTAAAAAAAGGGTTCCTGTGTAATCCAGTGAACTTTGTATCTTCTACTGGTTTGGTACCACATGTTTCCAGTTACACTGAATATCTTTTTATATATCTTACTGATGTTGTATATCAAAGGAAAAACTCTTCAGATGCTCTACATTCTGTATTATTAGCAAAAGAAAAAGAAAGTAATGCACAGTGGTAAGATTTAAAAATGAGAAAGTACACAACACAGCAGAGGAAACACGTGGTCTACCAATGCTGAAAATTCACATACTGTAGAATAAAAACTGTCCTAACAGTGCAATCGCTGAATATCATCCTGATCAAGCTTTATCAACTAATCACAGACCAACTATTAACCTGCCTGATTATCAAAAGTTCATGAAAGAATAGCTGTCAAACAGTTTACTGATCATTTGATGAGAAACGATTTTGTAAAGTGTATCTGTCAAGACATAGAGTACATCATAGTACTTTGATAGTACTTTGATAGTACTCACTACATTCCATAGTACAGTTGTACTTTCTGCAAACAATTTCCCACGTGTGGGACTAATACAGGCTTATCTTAGTACAGAGGCAGCACTTCTGGATGATGCTCTTCTGGCCTCTGACAGTGGACTGTTACACCTGCTAACCACTATACTTTACTACAGAGGTCAGAACATACTGTGGGTGTTAAAGTAACCATGTTGGAGTCATATTTGTCTGCCAGAGTCCAATTTGTGCTCCTAAACAGGGAGTGCTCTCGAAACACAAACATTAGTCCCTGAGTTGGTTCTGTGATGGGACCAGAACTTTTTAAAGTAAACCTTCCTTTAGGCAATGTTATTAGAAAACACTGCATACGTGTGCATTGCCGTGTAGATATTACAGCTTTATTTATCCACGAAGACAGATGATAGAGTCATGTTGTGAACAGATAAAGGCCTGGATGACCTGTCACAGTATTACTGTGTTTGGTCCTAAAATAATCTTTGACACATGATGTCTAACAAGATTCTTTAGACAGTGTTGGTTTGGTCTTCAGTAACACTGTGAGGACTCTTGGAGCATTTTTGATCAAGATATGTCCTTCAAAGCACACATTAAAGAAATATGCAGGACTGCAGACACGTTCTCTACTTTTAAGATTAGATGTAAAAGTTTTCTTTTTGATAAAACGTATATTCAAGGCTGGATCAGATGACCCTGAATCCTGCTTTAGTTTTGCTACAATGAGACTAGAACATGCGATAATGTTTCTTCTTCATCCATCTCTTTTCACTCTGTGTGTTTATACACCACTACTGTATTATCATTAGCAAATGTCAAACTCTCTCTCTCTCCTACAGTTTGTCTCTCCCTCCTTTAGCTCCAGTGGGTTGTGGAGGATGGCCCCTCCCTCTGTGAGCCTGGTTCTGTCCTCCTGTTAAAAGGGAGTTTTTCCTTCCCACTGTTGCCAAGCGCTTGCTCGTATAGGGGTCATGTGATTGTTGGGGTTTGTTTGCTTTTTCTATTGTAGACCTTTACAATACAAAGCACCTTGAGGTGACTGTGAATTATTAATTTGCACTATATAAATATAAATGAAATGCTGTGAAACTCTCATGAGTCTAGTATGAGACAAAAGAGAGGAAATGTACTTTTTTCTCATATTAGATCTGCATCAAAATGAATTTTATGGCACACTAATCAGAGCGTGTGCCATCATTAATGCTCATTATTTCAATGAGGGAAAGTGAGCAGGCCTTACCTGAGCAGCATTACTGGACTGCTTCATGACTGGGGTGCAGTTACCTTTACGTCCAGATGAGGGCGACACATCAAAAAGTAAAAAAAAATAAGACCTGCAGCAGAGGAAAGCAGCAGCAGCAGTGGCTGTGAGAGACAAAAACAATAGCACATGTGAATCCTTTAAAAGACATATTAGGACGCTTTATGTTAATTCCTGAAATGGGATTAGAGCACAGCGGAGTCAGGGCTTCTCTGGTGTTTGGACACAGGAAGCAGCGTTTCGGCCCACATGGCCAGACTACCAACCGACAGCTGAGACGGAAGCAGGGGGTTTGCCAACTGTCTGGCTCATTTTCTAGTAGGCCTGCTTCCCTCAGGCCACTCACAGCCAGTGTAGGAACATGTCCAACACTGTCAAATATCAGCACACTCATACACACAGAGTAATGCGCACACACTGATGAGGGGTGCTTAATTTGCCTTTTGGGGATGCTTGTAAAAACTCCATCTTATATAGATTATTGTGGTTTATGTTGTTTGTTTGTTTTGTGTTTGCTCCGTATAAAAATGAGAAATGATGACTTCCGTTTGATCTATCAAAGGACTGAGACGGCTCAGCCATTACAGTTACCTCACTTTGCCTAATCTCTTTACCAGTAAGTGTTGTTCATCATCATATCTCTGTCAAGCATGAAATGGATGCAGCATTTTTTAAAATGCTTAAGAAAAATATGGATTACAAAATTAGATCGCCTTTTACCTTGCAACGTGTCAGGGTTGGAGTCTGGACAACAACCATGCTATTTTAAGGAAACTGCAATGCAGAAATACACAGGGGAAACTTTATGTAAAAAGATAACAGCTTCTAATTTCTGAAAATATGCTTACTTGACATGTTTAGGATGAAAGCCTGACCCTACACCGGTCGTCTTAGACCTGGTCGATGTTAAGAAGTTGACATACAGGTCGAACAAAAAATGATCTTTATATTTAATCAAAAAAAATCTCATACATATACAGTGGGGGTTAGTATATAACCTGCTGAGGCCTGTGTTCTCAGAATCTTTAACCCAAATCTACTGGGATATGTGATTACTGGCTTATTATATTACTATATTTTATCTATATAATATTTAAATTTTTTCTAATTCTTCTTTGACAAAGCCTGACACAGTGACCCAGCATCTCTTTGGTGTTTGGAATATGATGCAATGATTTTGTTCTTGGCTTTGCTGTAGTGATTATTAATTATCCCAAATGCACGCAGGCTCATCCACCCAGTCAGTGTGGAGAGGATGAATGTAAGAGCTGGGCATTTCCAGCCATTGCAGATGTGACATTATAAAATGCACTGCAGTGCAAAATGACACAAACAAAGCAACAAAATAATACTAGAGTTGTTCAGTGTTATGGTGCTGTACAGTCAGACAGGAAGGAAATCTCTGTACCTGCCTGTGTGCATGGATGTGATAGTATAATGACTGCATGTTGAATTTACTGCTTCATCATCATCAACCTTAAACGTAAACTGTTGTTAGCCTCTGCTGCCGTGCAGACGGGCTCACATCCAGACTTCCCGGCTTCGCTTTCTTCGGCCTGCTTTTATTTGTGCGTCACCTGGCCTCGCCACCTGTTGCAAGAGGAAACCAGAGGTGAGGCTTCCGGTGAGCCCAAATGCTGTCAGGTTTCAGGTTGGACTCCCCCTCCAGTGTCAGCTGAGGAGCCAGGACTCATGATAAGATAGATAGAAGAATAATAATAGCAAGAATGTATAAAAATTTATCTGTATATAGAGGGGGCTAACTTACCTCCTCTTGTGTCCTCCTCTAATCTGCTTCATCGAGCTCCTTCTTCCATGTTCTCCCACAAACATGCACAATAAACTTGAGCTCCTGACTAACTGATTCTCCATCACCATCTCCGTTTTTGTCTCTCTTCCAGCCCGCCTGACTGCAGCGCTCCTGAATAATAACCCCATCTCCCTCTCTCGCTCGCTTTCTCTCCCTCCTGTTTAAAATGCCGCTCACAGGCGCGCTCCCGTGCCGGGTTTTAAGCACACACACATCCCCCTCTCTCTCTCTCTCTCCACACGGACCTCGGGGACGCGCTCGGTCCGTGTTGCGCAGGTCCGGCCCGCTGTGACTCTTTCGCAGTGCTGCTTTTATTTTCTTAACGGCGCCAAGTCCACCCGCTCGCGCGCACACTCCCTTCCTCCGTCTCCATCAGCGCTTTGATCTTGACCCCCCCCCACCCCACGAGCTCACACAGGGTAGGAAATAAAAACAGGTGAAGCCTCCTTTTATTACATTTAAGAATAGAAAAATAATAAAACAAAAAATCTGAATCTGCTCGTAAATATTGAGCAAATGCAGCTGTTGCAGTGTTCGCTCACCCTAATGGATCTGGTTCAAGGTCTGGAGTATCTTTTTTCTCTTTTCGGTCTATGTGAGCGAGCCCCCCTCCTCCTCCTCCTCCCTCCCTCCCTCCCTCTCTCTCTCTCTCTCTCTCCCTCTCCCTCTCCCTCCTCCCTCCCTCTCCATCTCTGCATTCTCCTCTTTTTAGTCGTGTGGGAAGCTCCGTGAATGCGGCTGCAGAAGGAGCCAGCATACTTATGCGCCTGACACGGATACTGTTCTGTCTTTACAGGAGGGAGAGAAACACAAGCTTGCTTTTCTCCGGTGTGACACCCCTCCCCCCTCCTCTGCCATTTATTCCACCTGGATATTTTTTGTGTTTTTCCCAAAGAGAGGATTACTTAAAAAATTATCAAGTCCATTTTGATTCTTTTTTTCTCCCTTCCCTTCTTTGGACCTATGAAAGAGCGAATGTGCGGACTTTCGAGCGTCTCACTTGCACCACAGCGGACTAAAGGCTGAATAACTGCATTATTCATTTTTACGCACCGGTTTCTCTTGTCCTCACTCGTCTCTCTGGTTTCTCTCCGTTTTTCTTTCTTCCTCCTTTTGTTCTCGGAAAGGAGCTTCAATATTCTTCTTCTTTATTACAGGGGGAAAGAAACAAACAAAAAAGCATAAGAACTGATTCCCTCCCACTTGGATGAGACTGAAATAATCTATTCTCCATTCGACTGCAAACAAAGTGAAGAGAACCACCAACAGTTTTTTGGGGGGTGGAGGGATTAGCGCTGCAAGGATGGAGAATAACCTCGTGACAAAAGCAACCTGATGGGGGCATTTTGGCCGCTTCTGCCCTCTGGAGCTTTATCCCCGTGCGCAACTTCGCTGGAAACGAACCAGTATTTATTCATTGGCCCTTCGGAGGGTTGCTCAGCCGAGCTGTAGCCAGACGCACAGTGCTGGCCATCATCATCATCATCCCCTCTCCCTCCCCATTTTCTACTCATTGCTACTCCTCTTTCTCTCGATCAGTTCCCCGCCTTTAAATAAAAACTCCAAGAATGATGGACTTATTCCACCGTACTGGTGTCCGCCTTGCGCCCCTTTTCACGCCTTGTAGTCGCCGGACGCGCCGTGAAGATCTCTGAAAGCTATCTGCCTCCCCCCACCCCCCACCCCCTCTTTCTATTTCCCCTCTTTCTACCTTCTTCTACCTTTCCCCCACTCCCTCTCTATCTCCCCTGCACCCATATGAACGTTTTCCCATGGAGGTAGTACGGCCACTTTGGGGACCGAACGAGCAGCGGGGAGATTTTTCCAAGCAAGAGGAGCCCGTCAGTAAGAGGCGCATCGGGTGAAACCGGACCTCCCTCCTTCTTCGCCTCTCCTCCTCTCCCTCCTCTGTTTCTCCATCTCCGCCTCGCACCTCCACCTCTCCGGTTTGCTCGGCTCCCTACATGGGGCTATAGAGGACTGGGGGGAGACCTTGTTGCGCCCCTATAACTGTCGGCTTCTGCTGGGCAGACTGTTTGCACGGCTCCATCCATGTCTCACCAATGCTGCCCCGTGTCTCCAGAGGGAGCCGCATTCATCACCACCACAGCTTTGGGTAAGTCCAATTTATTTAAATTCAGTCCCATAAAAAAGATCTCGCAGATTTCGTCATGTGGAATTTCTTCTTGTGTCACAGCTGCTATAAATGGGTACAGCTTAAACCCCTCTCAGTGTGTCAGTAATGGGCACAGTCCCAATTCTTCTTCTTCTCTTTGCTGTGTGCTATTCGCTGGTATTGGAGGTGCTGGCTCCAAATTAGACCTCCCCTAGAAAAGGGAACTGCAGCCATTTGACTTTGATTATGTTGAATCTGAGAGGCACAAAACAGAGTTGTGCTGATGTCTGCGTCTTGCTTTGGGTGTCAGAATAAGATGCATAGACGTGCAGTATTTCAGGGGTTTGGGTAAGTCCAGAGCATGTGCTACTTTTTCCTGCAGTACTGAATAACCTCCATCCAACATTTCAGGCTATCCAGGATTTGGAGGCATGACTGTGTGTCAGTAACAGAGATACGCAGTTCATAGATTCTGATGAAATAGTGGGATCATTGCAAATGTGCATTATTAGCATCGTGTCTAGAATTTATTTCATACAGTGAGAGTAATGTTTTCTTTTTTGTACTTTAAATATAAATCGAGTTAAATATTAAAATTGCAATGCAGTCAATCTCAAATATGAATTTTGATGGTGTGTGTGTGTGTGTGTGTGTGTGTGTGTGTGTGCGTGTGCATATCTGGTTTTGTGTGCATGTATGTACGCCTGCGTGTGTGGATGTTTGTGCATGCGCCTGTCTCTCTTTTCTTTTTCTTTCCAAAGGTTACTAAATGGTTTTCTGGGGGAGGATTTCTAACCGGCGAAATGCTGCTCGTACTCCTGCTGGCAGCCTTTTCTTCTTCTATCTCCGGCTCTCTCGCCTCCTCCCTCTCCTCCCCCTCAATGTCGAACGGACCCCCGATGGCAGACCCGTCCGCCCCGGACTTGCTGGCCGAGACCTGCGTCGCCTGCTCCTGCATGTCGGTGGAAAACGTGCTGTACGTCAACTGCGAGGAGATCACCGTCTATCGACCCACACAGCTCATCCCTCCGGCCTCGTCCCTCTACCACCTTAACTTCCAGAACAACTTTCTGATCATACTCTACCCAAACTCTTTCCTCAACTTCACCCACGCTGTCTCGCTGCACCTGGGGAACAATAAACTGCAGAACATTGAAGGTGGGGCCTTCATGGGGATGAGTGCGTTGAAACAGCTGCATCTGAACAGCAACGAGTTAAAGGTGCTGCGTGCGGACACTTTCTTAGGCATAGAAAACTTGGAATACCTTCAGGCTGACTACAACTTAATACAATACATTGAGAAGGGAGCCTTTAACAAACTGCACAAACTCAAAGTGCTGATCCTGAATGACAACCTCATACAGGCACTCCCCGACAACATATTTCGCTTTGCCTCACTCACACATCTGGATATAAGGGGCAACAGGATCCAGAAACTTCCCTATTTGGGTGTTCTGGAGCACATTGGACGCATTGTAGAGCTGCAGCTGGACGACAACCCCTGGAACTGTACCTGTGACCTAGCACCTCTCAAAGCGTGGCTTGAAAACATGCCCTATAATATTTTTATTGGCGAGGCCATATGTGAAACGCCAAGTGACTTGTACGGGAGGCTCCTGAAAGAAACCAACAAACAGGAGCTTTGTCCCATGGGAACAGGAAGTGAATTTGATGTTAGGATGCCACCTGCACAGCCCTCCAAAACGCCCCCAAGTACTGTGGCTCCCATAGCCACGAAAACGCCAAAAACCACAGACTCATCAAAGTTTTATGGCAATGGGATTGTGGCTGGAAGGAATAACCAAATTGTTTCCTTTCAGTTGTGTCCACAGCCCTGCAGCTGCAAAGCCCACCCTTCTGACTTTGGCATTAGCGTCAGCTGTCAGGAGAGGAATATTAAAAATCTAGCTGATCTTGTTCCCAAACCCCCAAATGCCAAGAAGCTTCACCTGAGTGGGAATTACATCCGTGACATCAATCCGAGTGATTTCCAAGGTTTTGAGGGCTTAGATCTGCTGCATCTTGGCAGCAATCAGATTGTCACAGTCCAGAAAGGTGTGTTTGCTAACCTCACTAACCTGAGGAGACTGTACTTAAACGGAAACATGCTTGAACAGTTGCACCCAGAGATGTTTTTGGGCCTCACAAACCTGCAGTACTTATATTTGGAATACAATGCCATAAAGGAAATCTTAGCAGGTACGTTTGATTCCATGCCAAACCTTCAACTCCTGTATCTCAACAACAACGTTCTGCGGAGTCTTCCTGCTTATGTGTTTGCGGGGATCCCATTAGCCAGACTCAATCTGAAAAACAACCACTTCATGACCCTGCCAGTGAGCGGTGTCTTGGACCAGCTGAGGTCACTGACCCAAATAGACCTGGAAGGCAACCCGTGGGAGTGCTCGTGCGATCTGGTTGCCCTCAAACTCTGGCTGCAGAAGCTGAGTGATGGAGTGGCTGCCAAAGAGGTGAAATGTGCCTCCCCTGTGCAGTTCGCCAACATTGAACTGCGCCTCTTAAAAAATGAGATCCTGTGTCCTCGGATGGCGAGGCCGCCCTTTATTCAGACTGGCGCCACCCCTGTTTTGACATCAGTGTCGCCTGCTGGAGTTGGCAAAGCACCACCGGGAGGGCCCGTGCCTCTTTCAATTATGATCCTTAGCATCCTCGTAGTGCTGATCCTGACTGTGTTTGTGGCCTTTTGCCTTTTAGTCTTTGTCCTGAGGCGGAATAAAAAACCGGTGGGCAGGCAGGAGGGGCTGGGGAACCAGGAGTGCGGCTCAATGTCTTTGCAGCTTCGCCGCCACAGCCACAAATCCGGCAAAAAAGGTTCTATCCCCGGCGATGACTTGGGAGGCGAGACCTTCATCCCTCAGACTATCGAGCACATCGGCAAGAGCCACACCTGTGGGATCGGTCGCTCCTCAGACTTGGATGCCGGCTTCAAATTTGCAGACTCGCAGAGGCAGAAGATCATCCTGCGGAACAGCGCAGACAAGGAGAAAGACATGCTTTCCACTCTGGAGCGCAACAAACGCCTCAGCACCATTGACGAACTCGAGGAGTTTCTCCCCAACCGAGAGCCAAGCATGTTCATCCACAACTTCCTGGACAGCAAAAGAGATTTCAACAGTATAGGGATGGGCGGATATGAAATCCGCTACCCAGAGAAAACGCTGGATAAAAAGATGAAGAAGTCGTCGCTGATAGGCGGGAACCACAGTAAGATCGTAGTGGAGCAGAGGAAAAGTGAGTATTACGAGCTGAAAGCCAAGCTCCAAGGAACACCTGATTACCTGCAGGTGCTCGAGGAGCAGACTGCACTGAGTAAAATGTAGGGACTGTTGTGTTTGATCTGTGCATTGATTACACACACTTCTACAGTATGAAGTCAGCAACATGCAGGCAGACAGACAGCCGAACACATTTCTCTGGCTCTTTGTCCTCTCGAGACACACACACGTCATTCAAACCTTCAGATCTCTCACCCTCTGCCTTCATTTCCCTCTCTGCAGCCACACACACACACACACACACACACACACACACATACACATACACCTACACACACACACGCACACACACACAGACACACACACACACAAAGCAAAAAAAGTGCCTTCTGGAAATCCTTAATGACCACTGCAGAGATGGACAAAATGGCTCCACACTACAAGGCTATTAGTAGAATAAGCGTGGATGTATTTCACAGTAAAAGACCTTCTGGATTATCAGCCACTCACACGTACGAATCCTGCAAACTTACCATAGGACACCCTTAAAAAAGCAACCAGACATAGTATCTTTTGCTGCTACTGAAATGGGTACTTATCTTCTTCGTATTTTTTTGTTGTTCTTGTTGTTGTTCTTTTTCTTTTACTGTATTTTTTTCCAACCAAATCAAAGGGTCTTGAAACAGTGCTTGAGAATATACCTCGCTGGCTGCAGCCCGTTTTTTAAAAAAAGAAAAAGAGGGAGCGCTGGTTGTTCTTTTTGCTCTGGAACGAATCATGTCTCCTTCTACTGGGATGAGATTAACAGAATCAGTGACTCAATGGATGCTACTTTGCTTTATTCTATTTTATTTTGTTTTTATTTGACCTTTTTTGTGTTGCTGGGATATCTATTTGATCTTGTGGATGCTCTCCGGAGTTGGCTGCAGACTCTCTGCCATCTTGTGTGGATTACACAGCAGTAGCAGTACACCTGCTCTTTGCCGGGAGGCTAAACGGCTCCCGTTTTCCATTCGTGGGAATTGGAGGCACCGCAAAACTCTTTTGGGGGAATGATTTCATGACTTGTTTTCTTTGTGTAAAGAGCCATGTTAAATATAGTGTCTTCTGAATGGAGTTGTGTTTCTCTTTAAAAATTCCTACTTACAGTAACTGTATGTTTTGGGTGAAATCTAATGGCACATACACTGTCAGAGGACGTTTCTGAAAAATGAAAAGAAAAAACAAAACAAAACCCAATGATTAAAAAAAGGAAAAAAAGAAAAAAAAAAGAAATTACAAAGCTGCTTGCCATGTAAGCGTAACCTGGAATTTATTTTGTAAGTCTTACATTATTTGTATCTGTGGGACTGGTTTGTAAATTACAAAGAAAGACACACACACACTCATACTGTACGACGGAGCATCATCAACATCAAGAGACTTCATTGCCAGATTGTCCAACAAACCGCTAATATAATTCAATCGGTGACCCGCCTCCCCGTCAGCTCTCAATTCGTAGAAAAAGAATGAAAATTTAACAACATAGTTAATTTATTTTTCTATGCAGGGTTATTTAAAGAGTTATTGGTATTATTTAAGAAGAATAATACGCAAAGAGTGGAAAGGACTTGATAGTGTGCTGCATCTGAGCTAATTCAGTCGATTCAAGGGTTTCTGTTTCTCTCGGTCTGCTGAGGAGCGCCTGCCGGATGAAAGGTTGTGAAATGTGATCTGTGATGTTTCCTTTTTCTTGTGTCGCACGATGAGCAAGAGGCCTGATAGAGTCTGTGACGTTTCCAGCAGTTTCCTTATTCTTATATCTCCCACAGTATCTTGTAAAAGGTTTCTTATTAACATTATGCAACCAAAATAAATGTGCATTAAACTCGATATGCTTCTGGAATTGTTGGACCTGGGAGGAAAAAAGGGAGGGAAAGCGAGGGCAAACCGATCGAGGCTCTAAATTGTCGGATCTGGGCCGAACCGTATCGGAAAAACAACCATGTGCAATATTAGCTCAGTCTCCGTTTTGTTTTTAATTTATTTAGTTTGAGATGATATTGTCAGGACAAGTTCTATTTCAAAATTCTTTATTCAACTTAACTCTATCCGGTCCTTATTTAAAAAGTATTGTTAAGTTAAAATTATGAGTGTTTATTGACATTACAAATGAATAGAATGTATCTTGAAAAATATAATAAATACAATTTTCTATCAGTCATAAATCTCCTGTATATTGGTTAATTTTCTCATGTATAATCATGTTGAAATCAAGGTATTAAAATCAGCACCTCTTTGCACCGTGTCCCCCCTATTTCTTTTAAGCTCGTACATCCTCGTCGTTCTTCGAGGCTGCTTAACTTTCAAGCTTCTGCAAACCCTGCCATTAGCATTTTTTCCTTTCACAGCACACGGTGCAGCGTCTGACAGCTCAGTGTTGGACAAACTAAAGCTGACAGAACGCTGTTCTTGTTTTGTTCGTGTACAAACACTGGCTGCCCTTCAAGCATAATATATAATTGTTTCGTTGCTTAGAAAACTGCCTCTGCAACTTGGGAAAGTCTTGTTTTTTACCCCGAAGGCCATGAACCAGTTCGTGCTTTTCAAGGGAACAGTTTAAGCAACTAAAACCAAGCCAAAATAAAGTCTCCAGCGTGGAAAACTTCATACAAATATGCACATGTGCTGGTTTTTCCTATTTAGATCGCAAAATATTTTGTCCCAAACATCCTCAACTTTTTCCTGTCCTTTCAGCTTTTAAGGCAGGTTTCTGAGAGAACACCTGACTTTTTGGTTTTTTTGGCAGGTGTCAAAGTTCCCTCTGTTTATAGACACCCATCAAACATTTATGCCGGTTTCATTTTAGGGTTAAAAATTCAGATTTCCTCTTTCTGTGTTAATCCAAGCTTTTGTGCTTTTGGGAAACCAAGTAGCAGAGAGTATGACTCATCCAGACGCCAGAGAATTGTCCTCATTAATTATTAATACCCATGGCAGTTATGAACTAAAAAAGGGATGCGGGGAGAGAGGTGAGAGATAGGAATGTGATATGTATAACCCTCCAAACTGTCTCCCCCATCCTTCCATCATTCTCCGTCTTTCTCATGTTTGTGATCACACTGCTCTGTAATAAAGCAGAAATATCATTTGGTGCTTAAAAAAAGGCACAAATTGGCTGGAGACGCAGCTTTTCAGTCCAAAATTTTACTGCAGTGACTTGGCTCTCGTGCAGGGTTCCTGGAAGGTCGGGTGGGGGGGTTCTCGAGGTGCCACAACACTAGAAAACGGTGAATTTCTATTGCTTTAATTTACCTCGCGAAAGATTAGCAGGACACAAATGCACGAAATCCTCACGAATGTTTCTTTCTTTTTTCCTTTCTCTCCTTTCTGCTGTTATCATCCCACCTGCTGCAGAGACAGTTATGCAATTCTGTTCTGAATCCTAACTCTTAAAATCATCTCTGCCTCACTGTGTATTTTTATCTGATGGGGTGGCTCTGCAAAAACGACGCCTTTCTGAGGGGAAGGATTTAAGGGGGAGACAGTTGGTAAAAACCCTGCTGGAAGACGTCTGTAGCATGCTTTAATATGGGGAATGGCCACAAGGGGCGCTCTAAGCTAAGAACACAGAAGTGAAATAGTGTGAGTGGACTTCAGGATCACTGATGTTTGAAGGCGTTTGGTTAAAAGAAACCACTGATGTTTTATTCTACTTGTACTCTTGCCTTATTATTATTTTTCTAAGATTTGAAGTGAACTGGGATTTCAGAGGCCCCACAACATGATGACTGTGCCTATTTATATGACCAGGAGTTAATAATAGGTGCAACCATCAGATAAATAATACTAATAAAAATGAGGAAGTAAAATAAAGTAATGCTTAAAAAAGCCCATACGTTCAGTGACTATTGATTATTCTGCATAATTATTATGCCACTGCATTCACAGTGATTTGCAGTCTGTGAGCAGCATCAAGATGATTAATCTCTTCACATCCACCACACAACACGCAGAGTGACAGATGTGAACCAGACACTAAGTCAAAACTAAGTGACCTGCTGGATGCTAAGAGGTTCACCCTCAGAGGTCCAAGGAGTCATTTTTCTATGTGCGTCAGAATATTTGTTATTTTTTTCCTGATTGAACAGAGTTGGAAAAACAGCTGCCTGAGCTTTAACTTGTGGTTGAAAAACAAACACCTCTAACTCTCACCGCAGTCTAAGTGTTTGTTTGTTTAAATCTTCAGCTGTTTCATTTCAAACTGTTTGGCTAACTACAGAGTCTCAAGCAAAAAGAGGACCTGTGTCACTATGCCTAAGAGCCACAACTACAAGTAGTGCACCAACAAAACCATATCAGCATCTTTTTGCCATTAAACATCTTAGAGTTTGTATGAGGAGCTAAAACTACTAAACTGTGTTGCATTGTAAGGGCACAATTGGTGTTCTCCAACGGCGCGTTTTGGCAGAACTTGAACGCAGCCTGAAGGTTTTGTTAGGATGCAAATTGTCAATCATTAAAATTCAATTCAATTCAATTCAATTCAATTCAATTTTATTTATATAGCGCCAAATCACAACAAAAGTCGCCTCAAGGCGCTTCATAGATACAGAGAAAAACCCAACAATCATATGACCCCCTATGAGCAAGCACTTTGGCGACAGTGGGAAGAAAAAACTCCCTTTTAACAGGAAGAAACCTCCAGCAGAACCAGGCTCAGGGAGGGGCGGGGCCATCTGCTGCGACCGGTTGGGGTGAGAGAAGGAAGACAGGATAAAGACATGCTGTGGAAGAGAGACAGAGGTTAATAACAGATATGATTCAATGCAGAGAGGTCTGTTAACACATAGTGAGTGAGAAAGGTGACTGGAAAGGAAAAACTCAGTGCATCATGGGAATCCCCCGGCAGCCTACGTCTATTGCAGCATAACTAAGGGAGGATTCAGGGTCACCTGGTCCAGCCCTATCTGCTTTAGCAAAAAGGAAAGTTTTAAGCCTAATCTTGAAAGTAGAGATAGTGTCTGTCTCCCGAATCCAAACTGGAAGCTGGTTCCACAGAAGAGGGGCCTGAAAACTGAAGGCTCTGCCTCCCATTCTACTTTTAAATACTCTAGGAACAACAAGTAGGCCTGCAGAGCGAGAGCGAAGTGCTCTAATAGGGTGATATGGTACTACAAGGTCATTAAGATAAGATGGGGCCTGATTATTTAAGACCTTGTATGTGAGAAGCAGGATTTTGAATTGAATTCTGGATTTAACAGGAAGCCAATGAAGGGAAGCCAAAACAGGAGAAATATGCTCTCTCTTTCTAGTCCCTGTCAGGACTCTTGCTGCAGCATTTTGGA